CTACACTCCCCTGGAACTCTAGTTGACCCGAGATATCCTAGTGTTGAATGTGATTGGTCTTTTTTTGTGACTTGCAGGGGAAAGGACAAGAGTGAATGAAAAATAAATGTAACTTATATGCCTTTACCCCCACCCCACCAACTAAAAAGAGAAAATCTGTGGCTCATGCTGCTTGTCACTTGTCTGCTAGCTGACTGCAAGTGCTTGAGAGGTCGGCGAGGTCCCATGACTCCCAGATGGTCTAGCTTCGGAGTACATCCAAGAATCCCTGTTTATAATCCACAGGCAACACTTTAAAGTTATGGACTCTCTCATGGTTTCATAGAGAAGCAGGCATACAGTTACTTCCTTTCCTTGTTTTGGGAATTAATGATCACATCGCCCAAGGAGGACTGGTCTTTCTCTCTCCTCACACCCTGGTTAGGCATGTTCTGTGTTCCTCCCTGTGGGATGTTTTGACAATGCAGTCGGTGCAGTGCCGTCAGCACCTTGTTTTGAAGCAGTTACAGTCATAGTCAATAATTGTTAAAGTAGTTTCTGCATGTTACGTTTTTCTTTATGTCACGCATTGCATACTTTTTATTGCTTTTTTCTGATTTTTTCATTCGTCTTTACGTATTTTCATTTTATTACTCCTTCTTGACAGTTCCTATTAGCATTTTGTTACCTTTTCTTCCAATCTGTCCTCTATGTAGCACTATACATTGGTGAAAATCATCCAACAAATCAGCTGGCAAAGAAGGAGCACGGGAGAAGGGAATGCAGAAAACACCTCCGGCAAAGAAAGTTTTTCTATTTCTCGAAAGTAGCTTCACAATCTTTTGGTTGAATCATAAATAGATTCTTCATTTGAGGCAAACTGAACAGCTTGTCCATGCTTCCTTTCTTCCCTCCCTCCCTCTTTCTCTCTCTCCCTCCCTCCATCCCTCTACTCATCCCTCCCTCCATCCCTCTATCTATCCCTCCCCTCCTTCCTTCCTTCCTTCCTCCCTTCCTTCCTTTCTTCCTTCTTTCCTTCCTTCTTTCCTCCCTTCCTTCCAATTAACATTTTTTTGTTTGTTCTTTGATGCCTATTGTGTGCCATGCTATATTCTGAGTGATGGAGCTATAAAAATAAATAAGCACCTGCTTGCTATAAGTGAGTTAGTTTTCTATCCAGTGAGAGAGCGTTCAATAGACAGATATTCACAAAACATACATACACAGAACTTTCACATTCACATGTCACAACCAAATTCTCGGACCAAGTGACATCATGATGTCAAGTGATGGGAAGGGGCAGGAGATGGCCCTGTGATGCTTCATGTTCTTCTGTTTTGGATCAAACACAAGCCATCCCCCCCTTCCCCCTGCACCCCCTCACCAATCTGCACAACTTGTTGAAAGGCCCTAGACGGAAAGTCAGGAGAACTGGGCTCTAGTCCAAGCACTGTGCTTTGTGCTGGAATGTGAGTCTATTAATGGAATACAGCAGCAGAATGCCGGCCTCAAGGAAAAGACCCTGGAGCTCATGGGCATAGCATTATCCCTTTCTGCCTCACACAGACTAGCTATAAGAATGGAGAAAAGCACCCCAACTTTACACAGGAATGTTACATCTGCCAAATTGCAAACTGGAGATTTTAAATGAATTTTATGTGGAGAAAGTAATTATTAAAATAGATTCACTTGCGAAGCTCAGTGCATTTACCCTTTTCCGAGCTTTGTGCTTCTTTGGGTTAGTTCCTACTTTTAAAAGCAAACCAGATGCACACAGAATGTTTCCCTGTGTGTTAAGTGCATGAACGAACTAAAATCAGAATTTAATTTTTATTAGTAGTCAGTCAAAGCAATGAAGTTAAAAGCTCATCTTTCCTCCATACCAAAAAATATATAAGTTCTTTAATAAGACACATGATATAGTAGAGGGAGATTCAGAGGTTAAAAATGCTTGGTCCCCGCCCTGCCCCCCCCCCAAAAAAAAAAAGAAAAAAAAAGAAAAAGGAAAAAAGATAAAGAAATGCCTGGTCCTGTGGAATCCCAGGTCCTCAGATTCTGAGAAGGTATCTGTATACATTTGTAATAGACAGTGTGAAGGAGATGCGAGCTGGTGTGAGAGTCACCTGGCTTCTTAGATGAAACCCCTACGTGGTCCTACAGTCTTTGCTTTTCTGCCCTTGTCCCAGGCACTGCCTGTGACATCCTCTCAGTAAACAGCTCTTGCTGAGCTTGCTGAGTGACGTGTCTTGGCAATAGAAGAGCCCTGGCCTGGGAGGGACGGGGTGTGGGGAGTAGGATAAGGGAATCCTAATATGCATCCTTCTACCCCTCTAAGCCTTAATTTCCTCATGTCAGAGAAAGAAAGGAACAGCAGTGGTGTCTATTGTATAGGGGGATTTAAAGGGCTAATGTACATAATGGCATTAGTACAGCATGCCAGGTATATAGTGAGCACTCAGTTCATATAAACTGTTGACTATCATCATCACATTAATATCGACCAGAATATTTTAACAAATGAAGGGCATTGCCCTCCCTTAGCTCATCAGCCCTTATTATTTAATGGCAACACACAGTGTGTAGAGTGATCTGTGTCCCATGCTAGAGGGAGTTACTAAAGCTGTAGAAGGCGGAACCTCTGTAGCGGGCCCACTGCGTCCGCTTCAGGCTGACGTCACAAGCTAAGGCTGCACATTCAGAACAGTGGCCAGGCTGGTATGTTTAACCGCTAGATCTCAGCTTCAATCTCGCCTGCGTCCATGGCTTTTCTCCTCTCAGATGCCTTTGCCACTGTAAAAGCTGTAGCTTAGCTAACAAAGGAGTCACTCAACCTCTTTAGCCAAAGCTGGTTAAAAAGTGTATTCTGAGTTAATAAACTAAGAGAAAAAAGAAACAGAACACCTACTTACATACAGGTTTTAATCTATTTTTTTCTCTTGGATATCAATACAATCACTGTCCCTTTACTTGCTCTTTTCTATGGATATGCGTCTTACTAGCTCCATCTAAATCTTTGATAATAAATTAAATGATGACAACAGTTTTTGGAGAGGACTTTTTCTACCCACTTTCATTCACATATTAACTTCAGTGTGTAATATTACAAAGTTTTTAACTCTTAACTATGCACTTTTTGCATAACCTATTAACTATCTATTGAAAGCTCCCTAAGCCATACCAGTCATAGCTTATGAATAAGTAGTACGTGTCTTCCTCTCTGGGTCTCCAGTTTATCATGTGACTGTTCAATGAGGTCGTTGACTTGTATAATTAAAAGGATCAAGAGAAACACCCAGTATCTATACTAATAAAAGGGTAATATGCTAATTAGACCGGGTCGACCAGCCATCTTCTGGATGTTCGACTTCCCTCTGGACAAAGCTATGGTGGTGGGGGCCGAGGCAGAGGCAGTTAGAGGCGATCAGAATGGCAGGGGAGGGCATTTGGGGGCGAGATCAGGCCTGCAGGGGAGGGCAGTTGGGGACAACCAGGCCGGCAAGGGAAGGCAGTTGGGGGTGATCAGGCAGGCAGGTAGGCAGAGGGGTTAGGGGCAATCAGGCAGGCAGGCAGAGGTGGTTAGGAGGCAGTGGTCCCAGATTGCAAGAGGGATGTCCGACTGCTGGTTTAGGACATCCCCGAATTTCATGCATCGGGCCACTAGTTTTAACATAAAATAGATGTATTGCAAATTAGAACCTTTCAGATATTTTAGAAGATATTTCATACTCTCACATATTCTTTTATTTTTCAATCTACCTCCAAAGTGTGCTCTACTAATATGTAGCCAGCCACACAGTGATCTAAGGTTTAGGTGCGTTCAAGAAAGAAAGAAAAGGGAGGGAGATACTAAAATTAATTGTGCCGGCACTGCATCTAGCATAGATGATTTACTCTTTATAACAACACTCTGAGGATTGGCTCACTGCATCAGTGAAGAAACGAAGGTTCAGGACAGGTAAACAACTTTCCCACGCTCACACAGCTATTAATTACTCCTGTTGTGTTGTTTTCTGAAGCTTGTTTTTTTGTGTGTGTTCTCTCGTGATGTCACAAGAGTGAATTCCTAAGTGATTAAAAAATTTAAAGGGATTTCCAGAGATAATCTCATCAATTCCACTTGTTGGGAGGTAAGGAAACTTGGTCTAGGGAGGTTATATTGTGCCCATCTGGGCAATGTACATCTCAGTTGCTGTTCCTCCTAGAAGCTTTTTTTTTTAACCTCTCTTCCTATTTCCCCACCTCATCCTGCCCCCACCCACCATAGTCAGAATTAAAATCCTTTACATGCTGTATTGTGTGGTGGGCAAGGGTGAGTAACATTTGGACACTGGATTTAAACTTATGATCTACCACCTATGAGCTGTGTGACCCTGGGTAAATTTCTCAACCTCTCTGAGCTGTAGTTTCCTCACTGTGAAAAGGGAGAGAGCAATAGTACCTATCTCGTAGAATGGTTGTGATAATTAAATGAATTAAAACATGGAAAGACCTTTAGAATAGGGAGCAACTAATCTCATGACTATTAGTGATTGGTTTCTGTTAGGCTGCTGCATATACTTTTCTCCTGGTTTACATGTGTACAAGCTTGTCTCCCCACTGAGATGGAGATGATGTCTTGCACATCTTCGTAATCTCTCAGTGCCAAGACCAGTGGTTACCAATTCTAGACACTGAACAAGGCCAATTGGATCGATTTCATTTTCTTAGTCAATGACTTTCCACATTTTCCACAGTTTCCAAATTTCCCCAGTTAATAACGCCATAAAATACAGAAGCCAAGCCTTCCAGACCTTTTTCTGCTACTTGAGGATCCTGATTATTGAATTCCAGGCTGGCATTTGCCCCTGGATTCCTCATTGCTTTTAGGAATAAAAGTTGCATATGCCCATGATTGAATTCGGTAATTAGTTATTTCTTTGTTGTTCCTTGCAGGGATTAACATCAAGCGTGGACTGATTTTCTATCCTTGGTATTATGTGGTTGATGCCAACAAGTAATTCTAATATGTGCTTTCTACCCAGTTTCCCATCTCCATTGACACTGGTGCCTTCAACGTCTCCTATGAGCCTTCAGGAGGAAAAGTAAGGCTTTTAACTCTTTTTATTTCCCTTTTACCACCACCCCCACCCCCCATCAAATGTTGCTATCACAGAAAGGACGAATGTAAGACTTGTGCTGACCCTGTGGAATCTTGAGATTTCCTGATTTCAAGGAAAGTCGCTGTTGTGTTTTAATTTCCACTCAGACAATTTCACCTGGGGATTTCAATAGCACCAGGCCATTGTTTTCAAAGGTGTGGTATGTAGAATGTTGTGACAAACTTTCTAAAAATTTGGACTACAGCTATCGGTCATTAACATTCCATTCTCTTTTGGCAAAGTTGTAGATTTTTTTTAAATGACAGATTTCACCTCTATTGTTTTAAAATTCAAATATTATTGAACGTCTGATTTTGAGGGAAATGATGCTGGCATTCCACTGTGAACTTTGTAAACTGTTCTTTCGCAGAGAGCCTCTTCCTCATGAGCAGAAATTGGGGGATTAGTGTATGTATTTAGACAGTCTCTCTGATCTTTGCGAAGATTTGGAGACTTTCATGTTACTCAAAGGTGAATCTTTCAGTGCGTCAAACTGTTATATAAAGCTGCTTTAAAATAAGATGAAACTGATCATAGGAAAGTTTTGATGCATAAAATTACAACAATAAAAATGTAACTTTAATTTACATAAAGATGAGTTTACTTTAACTGTGTTACTCCCCCCAACCCCCCGCCTCTCCCCCTAGTGTCTAAGCTGTGGGGGCTGGTTCATTGTCTCTTGTTGAGCCTCTATTTCTAGTACCTATTATTTCTTGAACAACAAATGATGACAGAAAAATGCTACACTTTGTAGGCAACATCCAACTTAGAAATGCATGTGTTATAAATGGCCTTTTGTATTTCATTATTTATAAGATGCAGAATGTATTTTCTCATGTAAAGAGTAACATGAAAAGAACTTAAATTCCTAGGTTTACTCATAAAGATTACTTTATCCGATATTTAGAATTCTATTGTTTTAACTACTGTATTTTTTCATGTATAAGATGCCCCCATGTATGAGAAGCTCCCCACTTTTCCAACCCAAAATTAAGAAATCAATATTTTAAACATTTTGCTGGTTTTCCTCTTAAGGCCTTCTTCTTTTTTGGCATCTTAAGGAGTTGTTCTTCCTGTTTTCTCCACTGTCTGATCATACACTCAGTGGGAGGAGGTTCAAATTGTCTCTCTGCAGCTCTGTTTCCAAGCTCTTTTGCACAGCTGATTACATTCAGTTTGAATTTTGCAGAGTAAGACAATCGCTTACCGGTATTTATCTTTTTGTTTTTTGACATCTTTATGGGCTCAGAATGCTCTGGTCCCTGTTGCATCTGTGCACTCTCCACCTCCACCTCCAATTACAGCATCAGCTGACGTCAGTAACAATAAGGCTCCTGATTGGAGGAGGCCTGTTTGACAAGGTACGGGCAGCTATGCACCCTTGGGGCTCCCTGCTCAGCCGCCCTCCTCAGCTGACTTCCCTGTATAAGATGCCCCTTAATTTCAGAAAAAAATAGTGTCTTATACATGGAAAAATATGGTATTCCAGAAGCAAACTTCTGGGTAAACTTGGGAATCAAATCATCATTTTATTTATTTTACTTTTAAGAAATCATCATTTTAAAACTGGTTTATTGTATGGTGAATTTTCCACTGAATTCAAAGATAGTTTTCCCTATATGTAGCCTCCGTTCTGGGTACATATTAATCAAAGGGATCGAGGGAGAGGAGGAACTGGCCCCTAAGGGGTAGATATTTCTTCTGCAGGACTTCGGGGAGACTCTACCCTAATTCCTGGCTCTATGAAAGTCCTCTCCTCCCAGTAAATGTCGACTCAATTATGAGAACTTCTAATTTCTATATGTGACTTTCTCCCTTTAGCTACACATCCTGCATAATTACCTCAGGCCCTTGAGGAAACTAGTGAAGGAAAACCCTGGAACTCATTTTGAAGCTACCACAGATCCACAGGCCTTTATCCAAAACCCAGGAGCCTGACGTGTTTTGGAATTCAGGGATATTTTTGGATTTTCAAAAGATAATATGACACATGTGCTGCATGTTACAGACTATCCCCAGCTTGTAATTCAAAGGAGTAACACAGCTTCACTAAGTGTGTGAATATTCCCACTAAGGGAGATGAACAGATATTGCTTACAGCCTCACATCTCTTCAGTCCAGGTGTTGCTAGTAAAGTTATAAAGGCTGGTTAGTTTTCAGAGCTCTTTCTATCTCAGCGTTGCTGGTCAGGACAATGTCTCAAGGAAGAAATGGTGAACCCTGGACTGGGCTCTGGGGGCCCAGGGGCCCCTATGCAGAGAGACAGAGGTAAGTCACCTCCTTTGAGAAGGCTGAGAATGGCCTTCCAGGTGGCATTTTGCCAAACCTGGGACTCAATAGCAGTATGTTTGTTATTAGTGGGCTTGGTGCCAGGCTTTCTGAGTTGGCTGAAAGAACTGTCACACTTGGAGGGAAGACCTCTTTCCACTTGGGGTGGGGTGACAGCAGGCACAGTGACGGCCTGAGCTCTTGTGGGGATGTTGGCTGAAGCCCCACAGAGACATGGAAAGGGGGCAGGGATGAGGGGAGGGTCAATACTGGAACAGATTGGGGTCTAAAACCTGACTCAGACCGCCCCCCAACCCCCAGGCTTTTGATTTTTCCCTAAGGTCAGGTCAGCCGTCACAAAATAGTGACCCTCAGCTACAGATGACCAACCAGTGTGTTTGGTTAAAATTTAAAAGCCTAACAATGAACTGGGAGTGTTCCAATTTATTGTTGGTCCTTATGATCTTACTTCTATGATTTACACACTTTGTAACCTGCTGGGATTACAGTGTCTGTCCCTGGTGTATGACCTGGAGTCATAAGGATTGATTCTCTCAGGAGCTCTGAGCCTAGCCAGCCACGGAAACATGGACTACTCGGGTCATCTGGTTAGAAAACTGTATAATAATGTAATGGGTCATTGTTCTATTTGATAGTAAAGTTTCCTGTTTCAGTACTAGGGAAAGCTGACCCGTTTCCAGAAGTTGCCGTAAGACATTTCCTCTTATTCGGGAAACTGAGTACATGTTCTCTCCTGCTGCTTTTGACTTTTCAGTCCTGGAATTGTTCTTTTTCTTCTAGCATTGATTCATATGCAGGTTGCTAATAGATTTTTTTTTTGGATTAGTCTTAAATATAAAAAAAAAGCTTTAAAAAATGAAATGAAATGAGCTTTTTCTAATGCTGGTTTATTTTCCATGAAGGATGTTTGTGAATTCTGTATTGCCTGGAGCCAGGCTAGGGGGTCAGGGAGGCTGACCGGGAATTTCCCCAGACAGCTCTCCTCTGTTCAGCCAGGCCTTTTAGCTACGGCAGGTCATTTCCCCAAATGACGTGATTCAAGTCTAAGATCATAGTTGTTACATTGAGATTAAGGCAAAGTGATTATATCTTGAAGTGTGCTGATTAGGAAAGTGATTAGAAAATGAATTTCACTAATTATAATTCATAAGCAAGAAGAGATTGTACTCAATCAACTTTGTGCATTACGGAATTTAATTATGAGACTAAATGTTAACTATTTAAAAAAATCCTTCTTAGTTTCTTTCTTAAATATATACCAGTCTTGTGTTTCCTTCCTAATTACAAAACACTGTTCTTCCATGTTTCCAAAGGAAAAGCATCTTCTAACCATAAAATAGATGTAGGACTCTGAGTTATAAGAACTGCAAAAGCAAAAGGCTGATTCTGCATAGTTCACTTTAGGAAAATGGGTTTGAGGCTTTTTGTGTGTGTTATTGTTGTACTTTGCGGACACACAGTTATAACTTTAATGCCATGATCCCAGTAGTATTCTACATATTCTTTAAGCGAGCCTTAGGCTGTTAATTTGGCTGTCTCATTCTTAGTAAGGAAAAAACCCCATATTTGGGGCTCTCCAAATGGAGAAAGACCCTGACCTTTATTTCATAGAATTGGATGTGTGTTTGAGTCTCCTCTATATGTCTGACCAAATCACCCTACCAGACTCTACCTTGGATGAGAGCAGGAACCATGGCTATTTTATTCACCTGTGTGTAGCCAGGGTGAAGCCTCCTGAGTTAGCTATTCAATAAAAGGATGCAGAATGTTGAATGAATCGATCAAAGACTTGAATAGCTCTTGCTACAGGGAAATCATGACTGTTCAAGGAAGCCCAGCCGATCTTCTGGTAAGTCTGATGGTTAGAGTTCTCTTTTATAATGATTGGACTGTCTGTCATCTCTTCCCATTCATTTTCCCACTTTAGCTCTTTAGGCCTATAGAGCTGCTCTGCCACATGACAAACCTTTAAATGTTTGAGTTGACCCTCATACCCGCATCCCTCCATCTGGCCTCTGAGCTTTGCTTCTGAGACTAATATCCCTAGTTTCACAACGGACTTAGGTCTGAGTTCCCCTCATGCTCTCACACGCTCATTTCTGAGCATGCTCCTCATGAGCACCTTTGCATAGTACCCAGGGTGGGTCAGGGAGAGCCTGACCTTCGGGGATAGTAACTGTGCATTCTAGAGTCTATTTATGCCACTTGTGAGGAAAGTACGTTTTTATGTTTTTGAGGATTTTTTAAAGTGTTTCAGTGAAAATTTCTATTTTAGTTTTAACAAAACCCTGCCTTAATAGGAGGCAAATTAAATGGGAGAGTGAGCACCTTTGCATAGTACCCAGGGTGGGTCAGGGAAAGCCTGACCTTCAGGGGATATTAACTATGCATTCTAGAGTCTATTTTTGCCACTTGTGAGGAAAGTATGTTTTTATGTTTTTGAGGATTTTTTTAAGTGTTTCAGTGAGAACTTCTATTTTAGTTTTAAAAAAACCCTGCCTTAATAGGAGGCAAATTAAATGGGAGATAGTTATTATCTAGGGCTAGGCGATAGGTTTAGCCAATAATGGTTCATTCGTTGTGTCTTGTTTCGAAGTTGACTTATTTGGATAAGTAAATTATTAAGATAATTTGACACTTTGTGAAGCTTAAACCTGGAGATT